TTTAAGTTTGGTCTGCCTGCATGTTGGGTTCTCCTCACCATCAAGCTGTAACACTCATTTCATATTTCATGATGCTGCTGGTCCTAATGACCTCACAGAACTCCCATTAACAGATGTCACAACCTGCTGTCGTAATGTTGTCGCTTCGCTGCTCAGATTTATTGACTCTTTTAAGGAACATCTTAAGACTTTTATTCAGACAAGCTTTTAGTTAYGTTTTGTTTACTGTTTTGTTATTGTTTTTCATTATATTTGTGACCTGTTTTATTGGTTTTAGTTATTTTGCTCTCTGTTAAGCAGTTTGTCAGTTTGTGTTTGGCAGGTGCTATAAAAATAAACTTTACTTACTTGCAGAGTGATGTAGTAACTGGTTCCATTGAGTAAATATAACACATTAACTTTACATTTACTGTTTTTGAATCAATGTTTCTGCTGATAGAGAGAAAAAGCAAACTTTTTTGTAAACTTTTTGCTGATTTTATTAATTTTGTTTTTTGTTTAAGTTATCTGCAGCACTTTATAGTGTTGGATCATTAAACTCTCCTGTTACTGAGAGTGTTACTATTATCTGTTAATAAAACACTTTAAAAATAATAAAACACTTGTTCAGATGGTTCRTTGTTGTGGAAATCAAACTAAAGAGATTCWGATAATCCAACATTATTTCGTACTAAAAACAAAACTAGTCACAAATATTTTACTTTTTCCCACAAAACAACATACACAGTGTACATCCCAACCAACATAACGTTACACAATGAGACACAATCAATGCTCTACATACAAAACAACAGAAGTATTTACTGTAAACAGTTACATAAAAATAAAACTATTCTAAGACCACATGGTCAAACAATGGACTCTGACCTCATCAGAGATTACAGTTCTCGCCCTTCCTCCTCCTCTTCCTCTCACTGTTTCCAGTGTCAGCATCCATTGTGTGGAGCTAAATTGGGGCCACCAAGTTTGTTAAAAAAAAAGTTTTGAAACTGAAAGAAATGCTTGAAACTTAGAATGAATTATTTGAAACTGAAAAAAAGAGTTGAAGCAGGAAAAAGAAAATGTCACAAACTACTTGTCGACTCTTATGGAGGCCGTGAGGGAACATGGGAGATTTTTTTTCTTTTGCATTCCCATGCAATAGTATTGCCTTACCTCGAAATACCTTTTGCATTTCCTAGCAAAAGTAGTTTATCACTGCTGTGCCTGTCGGTTTATTAACAAACTCACATGTTCACCATTAGTGAGTTAGCCTACTGCTTTAATTCAGCTTCAGAATATATCACACAGCCACGCATGGAAGTTAGAGGTGGGCGGATCGATACTAAATATTGATAATATCGATACCAGCGCTGGTACTGATATTGAACAATACTCGTGTAAAAAGATCGATACTCAAGCTTTGTTCTTTCCCGCACACACTGACTGCTGCACATAGTGCTGCACTGTGTCACACACAGCAGGGAGYAGYGCACACMCCCCCATCTTTTGTTGTTGCACCGTCACGTTGCTCAGCAGCGCTAGCCAAACAGGTAAGCTAACTAAGCAGGTAGGCTAGCTGGCCCACCCACTCAGCTTTCTCACCGAGCCCTCTGCCTCAGGAGATTTTGTTTTAAGTTGTGTTGAGTGATATTTTTATTCTGTTTATTTACATGAAACAAAATTGTATTGAAAGGAAGAAAATTCTTTATTTTTTGTTTTTCCTTAGAATAATTTTATTTAATAAAAGAAACAAAGAAATAATTAGGAAAGCTGTCTAGTGG